ATGTAGTTTTCAAGAGAAGTCATACTATTCAGACCACAATAAAAGCCACAGTCAAACCACCATCCAGCCACAAACTAGAACCATCAGGAGCAGTGTACCACATTCAGTGCAATTGTGGACAACCTTACGTAGGAGAACGTGTAGGCCTCTCAAAACCCGAATTAAAGAACACCAAAGCTCAGTCTCCAAAGATGACTCTAAATCAGCTCTATCAGACCACATCCAACCAATGCCACAGCATTCAGTGGGATAAAGTCAAAGCCCTCACCACCAACCTCAAAGACTTCAAAATCAGAAAACTACAAGAAGCCATCAAAAGACTCCAACCGTCAATCAACCGTGACCAAGGCTATTACATACCCCGGCATTCCATCAACTCATCAAAGACCCCAATCAGCCATAATCCTGATGTTTATATTACTGGCTTCATTCTTTGTTTATGTCACTAATTTCACCGATGATTGTCGTTACTACCCTTGTGTGTACATAACAGACTTTTCCACAACAGAATAACTACATCTGATATCACTCTACTGTTTAAAAATTGTCTCCAACATGTATATATACTTGTCAACCACACTCACTTGCTTGATAACGGTGTTAGAACCTACACCGAAACGTCGGTCTTACTTGTAATAAAGAAGTTGTTCATCCACAAATTCCTATCCTTAGTTAGCATTCCAAGTTCTAAATTCCTATCAAAGAAATTGCTTAATATCAATAATGGTAACCTTTGTGCCCGCCTACCTTGATCAAGAGTGATTGTGATTGTGCGATTGATACCTTCAGTTTACGGTAATACATGCAGATTTGAATACATTACATTTTAGCCTGGCAAATGAAAAAAATTTCTTGGAGAACTTGCTGGAAAATATTTTTGGCAGGGGTTCGGTAGGGCAGGGCATGCTCACCTTTTCGCGAACACCTGGTGTCGTCATTGATTTTCAGTTATCCGTACATATAATTTTCGTCTTTTACACCCAATGGAATCTGATTCGTTGGGTATTCGAGACTTGGTATTATTTGACGTTGGCGTTTTATATTTATTTGATTAATACAACAAAGGACATCCATCACATGCATCTCTAACTAGAACAGTTTAATCTTGATTCAGTCCACATAATAATTTGAGGTTATCACGGAACATTATTGCAAATATTCTATACTGTTTGTCTGCAGCACACTTGTATTACAGCACACACTGAGGTCGGGTGAACTTTGTAGTAATAAGACAGGGAGGCTGAACTGCTATTGACCTAACTGTATTGATTATAAACACATCTGTCAGCAAAGATTAATTGAATTTGACGTCAATTTAAATCACGATCCGCCTATAAAATAATCTCACTATTATGATTCAGTTGCATTCTGACCTTTCAGTCCAATCGGGTCATATATACGATGCTTCGACAATCGGTTTCATCTGTATTGGTCTTTCTACTGGTCTTCGACATAGCACGGGCCATGCCGTCTTCAGGGAGTGAGTACATTGAGAATTATTCAACAGAGGTCTGTCTCAGCTATTTCAACCCGTCACAGCAGTGTGTTTTGTCACGTTTCATAATTTGACAATATTTATTTATTACAATTTTCAATGACCTACAAACAACACAACATTTCAGTCATCGAAAATATTTGTTTTTTTTGTCATTTGTTGGAGGTAAAGAAAATATGTAAAGTGAAAGTGGTCAATTTGTGTTTAAGTTTTGCGTATATTTCGTTTTTATGCTTCTCGATATTTCTGCAGATATTTTGGGGGTGTTCAGCTTCCAAAAGGGTTCCAATTCCTTCGTGTACATTGATTGCTACCGTGACCATGCACAACTTACCAACAATCATTGTGTTCGTTTCAGTTTGTTCAAGTGCAAGAAAAGATGTGATCTTCGTTGTGGAGGACTCCAGCAATATTTCGGCAATGACCTTTAATTCCATGAAAACCTTTATTTTCGATGTCGTCAACATGTTTACTATTGCAAACAACAACGTCAATGTTGGTCTCGTTAAATTTGGCTCAACGGCTGTGGTTGAGTTCATCATTCAAGATTATCAAAAAGACAAACCCGGGCTCTTGTCTGCAGTGGATGACATAGTCCAGAGAGGGGAGAGTATGGTGCTTCCGGCTACTGCATTTGCACTCACAAGAAGCGATGTTTTGATACAAAATCAAGGTGACCGTCCAAACGCTGACAACATCGTCATCTTCATCACCGGTTCTGTAAGTGACAATACTCCAACTACATTGACCGAGGCAGACCTCCTGCGTGCTGAAGTGGCGGAAATGTTTGGTGTTGGAGTTGGCCTTTCGGACCTCACTGAACTCAACTACATTGCCAACGATCCGGACCTTGAATTTGTATTCTCCGTTGCCGGATCAGGAGATCTTTCAACCATTATCAATTCAGTCTCCGCAACTGTATGTAAGTACTAGTCACTGGATGGATAGACCATTTTATAATGTGTATGAGTGAGTGAGTTTGTTACCCCGCTTTAAGCATTGTATCAGCAATTTTATCACAGTTGTGGACTCCAAAAATGCGCTTCGCACATTGCACCCACGTGGGGAATCGAATCTAAATACCCATATGTAACACGAAACCCATGGTGGATCCTGGCTAAGTATACGAATTCCACATCGCTAGATTTCCACCTGGTTACTATTGAGTGAGTGAAAATGGGTTTTACACGGCTTTAGCAACATTCCAACAATACCACGGCCTGTACCACCATAAATAGCCTCACATATTGTATTCAAGTGGGGAATCGAACTCGAGCCGTCAGTGTGACGATCGAAAACTTTAACAACTAGGCTACCCCACCGCAACCCAGAACTTGGCTTCACATGGTTTATTCTCCCTGCTGTGATTTTTGTACGACAAACAGCTCCCATTCGTCGTTCATTTCTTAAGTAAATGTCTTCCTCTTGCAGGCGGTGCCTGTGATCCTGCCTGTCCCTCCACGGGTAAATGTGACAGAGAAAATAATGTCTGCGAGTGCTACCCCGGGTGCCAGAATGGTGGAACGTGTGATACGTCGACAAGCACCTGCAACTGCCCTGCGGACACCGCGGGCGACAGCTGTGAAGGTAAAATATATTTGTCACCTTCAAATTGAGTATTTTCTACATGGATAATTGCTTTGATGTTATCAAGTAATATAAACGTGATTCTCTCCTTTAGAGCACACTGATCACTACCATTAGAGACCTCGACGACTACCGCTAGAGATCACACGACGATTACCGCTAGAGTCAAATATGTCTGCAACGTCGATTCTTCCGTTGGAAATCACGACTACTACTTCAGTGTTCCAGTCTCACTTTCACTTTTCTGTCCCCAACATAGGTGTGTGCAGAACATGAACTGACTGGCCGATTTACAGGCATTGCAACACTATAAAACAGCTGAAGAACTTTGTAGAGCCTTGATGCCCGGTAATGCTTATGAGACTACGGCTGAGCCCCAACACGGAACACACTTAGTAGAGCCTTGATGCCCGGTAATGCTTATGAGACTACGACTGAGCCCCAATACGGAACACACTTAGTAGAGCCTTGATGCCCGGTAATGCTTATGAGGCTACAGCTGAGCCCCAACACGGAACACACTTAGTAGAGCCTTGAAGCCCGGTAATGCTTATGAGACTACGGCTGAGCCCCAACACGGAACACACTTAGTAGAGCCTTGAAGCACGGTAATGCTTATGAGACTACGGCTGAGCCCCAACACGGAACACACTTAGTAGAGCCTTGATGCCCGGTAATGCTTATGAGACTACGACTGAGCCCCAACACGGAACACACTTGGTAGAGCCTTGATGCCCGGTAATGCTTATGAGACTACAGCTGAGCCCCAACACGGAACACACTTGGTAGAGCCTTGAAGCACGGTAATGCTTATGAGACTACAGCTGAGCCCCAACACGGAACACACTTGGTAGAGCCTTGATGCCCGGTAATGCTTATGAGACTACGACTGAGCCCCAACACGGAACACACTTGGTAGAGTCTTGATGCCCGGTAATGCTTATGAGACTACGGCTGAGCCCCAACACGGAACACAAGGTGTCATCACTGTTTGATAGTGATTCATAAACACATGCTCGTAATATGGTCGGAATCGTAGATCTACTCTGCTTTTGGCAAGGATTTGTTTTATGAATATTGAAGTGTTTTATTTTCACTGGAAAGATTGGAACTGGATTTGCAACTTGTCAAAACGATAGACTTGGCGCTTGACATTGAGGGGGTAAAACAAGTCTTGTGGCTTGGTATCTCAGCAGGCTAGAACTATAAAACCGACAGAGGTCCAGACGAGGCAGTCACACAAACACACATGCTATCAGATCGCTACACAAGTAGAATAATCTTGAACGTTACGTTTAACCTAATTTCACCTCACCCACCACCCCCTATAATAAGATAATGCTTATAATCGTCTCCGGATGTAAAACTAACATATTAGCATTAACGTGTCACATGAATGCGAGAGGACAGCCAAGGCAGACGGGTTGCTCATTTTGGTTGAGACAGCACGACAACATACAATGTGTCGTACCACTATGGATGATAATCGGGCTATCACCGGTAGGGAAGGACATGCTTACAGTTTTTGCAATCTCATTACTGTCAAACTTTGATTTTCAGTGATCCGTTCACAAAATCTTTACCACTGTGTTAGCTTTTGCGCTTTATTTAATCTGTTTCGGGGGAATATATGACTGGAACCTTAAATTTGTGTGTAACTAGCCTAATACGTATTTCAAGTCCAATACGCTCTGACAAACCATTTGAAATATATACAGTAAAACTTCGTAAGTGCGTTCAAACTCCATTACCTAACATTTAACATCATAATAATTTATCATACTACGGAATCAATGATACCTAAATTATGATGTATACCAGAAAACATTCATGTAGCATTAACTTGCTTAACTGTGTACGCAATCCAAACAGAAAAAAATTAATTCTGTTTGGTACAGATACCAATGAGTGCACCGCAATGACTGACGACTGTGATGACAATGCTCAGTGTGACAACACTATAGGTTCATTCAACTGCACGTGTAATTCAGGATTCGAAGGCGATGGAACCAGCTGCACGGGTAAGTGGAACTAACAAAAGTATCATTTGAAAAATGCTCTTCTTGATGCATTAATGACGACATTTGATGCGATGAAATTGCATTCAAGGAATAAGTAATTCAGTTGATAAGGTATATGGAATCGACAGCAAAATTACGTAGACGTACAGATACTATTCCAAAGTAATATTTCATACAAGACCTGTTTGGATCATTGTAAAATTGTTAACACATTTCTTCATATTTTGAATGCTCCTTTCAAGTTTGGTTGCATAACTATTGTCTTGTATATAAGGTAAAAGTTTTCATTCAGTGTTAAGAGCTTTTGAATACCTTGCACAATGGAATATTAATTATGGGATCATTTATTTGCAATGTAAGCCAATACCGATGGATGTCATTTCAGATATTGATGAATGCACCGTAATGTCTGATAACTGTGATCCAAATGCCACATGTACGAACACACCAGCCGGGTCTTTTACTTGCACGTGTAATTCTGGATTCGAAGGAGATGGCACCAGCTGCACGGGTAAGTGGAACCAATGAAATAATTCTTTGAAAGTCTCTTCTTTTTTATCAATGACGACATTTGAAATTACTTTTAGGGAATAAATAATTCACTTGATAAAGTATATTTTATCAACAGCAAAATCGCCAAACATACAGATACTATTCCAAAGTAATGGTTCATGCATGACCAGTTTGCCTCATTATAAAATTGTTAACACATTTCTGCATAGTTTGAATGCTCCTTTCAATTCTGGTTGCATAACTATTGTCTTTTCTATAAGGTAAAGGTTTTCATTAAGTGTTAAGAGCTTTTGAATACCTTGCACAATGGAATATTAATTATGGGATCATTTATTTGCAATGTAAGCAAATACCGATGGATGTCATTTCAGATATTGATGAATGCACCGTAATGTCTGATAACTGTGATCCAAATGCCACATGTACGAACACACCAGCCGGGTCTTTTACTTGCACGTGTAATTCTGGATTCGAAGGAGATGGCACCAGTTGCACGGGTAAGTGGAACCAATGAAATAATTCTTTGAAAGTCTCTTCTTTTATTATCAATGACGACATTTGAAATTACTTTCAGGGAATAAATAATTCACTTGATAAAGTATATTTTATCAACAGCAAAATCGCCAAACATACAGATACTATTCTAAAGTAATAGTTCATGCATGACCAGTTTGCAGCATTGTAAAATTGTTAACACATTTCTGAATAGTTTTAATGCTCCTTTCAATTTTGGTTGCATAACTATTGTCTTTTCTATAAGGTAAAGGTTTTCATTAAGTGTTAAGAGCTTTTGAATACCTTGCACAATGGAATATTAATTATGGGATCATTTATTTGCAATGTAAGCCAATACCGATGGATGTCATTTCAGATATTGATGAATGCACCGTAATGTCTGATAACTGTGATCCAAATGCCACATGTACGAACTCACCAGCCGGGTCTTTTACTTGCACGTGTAATTCTGGATTTGAAGGAGATGGCACCAACTGCACGGGTAAGTGGAACCAATGAAATCATCCTTTGAAAGGCTCTTCTTTTATTATCAATGAGTACATTTGAAATTACTTTCAGGGAATAAATAATTCACTTGATAAAGTATATTTTATCAACAGCAAAATCGCCAAACATACAGATACTATTCCAAAGTAATAGTTCATGCATAACCAGTTTGCAGCATTGTAAAATTGTTAACACATTTCTGCATAGTTTGAATGCTCCTTTCAATTTTGGTTGCATAACTATTGTCTTTTCTATAAGGTAAAGGTTTTCATTAAGTGTTAAGAGCTTTTGAATACCTTGCACAATGGAATATTAATTATGGGATCATTTATTTGCAATGTAAGCCAATACCGATGGATGTCATTTCAGATATTGATGAATGCACCGTAATGTCTGATAACTGTGATCCAAATGCCACATGTACGAACACACCAGCCGGGTCTTTTACTTGCACGTGTAATTCTGGATTTGAAGGAGATGGCACCAGCTGCACGGGTAAGTGGAACCAATGAAATAATTCTTTGAAAGTCTCTTCTTTTATTACCAATGACGACATTTGAAATTACTTTCAGGGAATAAATAATTCACTTGATAAAGTATATTTTATCAACAGCAAAATCGCCAAACATACAGATACCATTCCAAAGTAATAGTTCATGCATGACCAGTTTGCAGCATTGTAAATTGTTAACACATTTCTGCATAGTTTGAATGCTCCTTTCAATTTTGGTTGCATTACTCTTGTCTTTTCTATAAGGTAAAGGTTTTCATTAAGTGTTAAGAGCTTTTGAATACCTTGCACAATGGAATATTAATTATGGGATCATTTATTTGCAATGTAAGCCAATACTGATGGATGTCATTTCAGATATTGATGAATGCACCTTAATGTCTGATAACTGTGATCCAAATGCCACATGTACGAACACACCAGCCGGGTCTTTTACTTGCACGTGTAATTCTGGATTTGAAGGAGATGGCACCAGCTGCACGGGTAAGTGGAACCAATGAAACCATCCTTTGAAAGGCTCTTCTTTTATTATCAATGACGACATTTGAAATTACTTTCAGGGAATAAATAATTCACTTGATAAAGTATATTTTATCAACAGCAAAATCGCCAAACATACAGATACTATTCCAAAGTAATGGTTCATGCATGACTAGTTTGCAGCATTGTAAAATTGTTAACACATTTCTGCATAGTTTGAATGCTCCTTTCAATTTTGGTTGCATAACTTTTGTCTTTTCTATAAGGTAAAGGTTTTCATTAAGTGTTAAGAGCTTTCGAATACCTTGCACAATGGAATATTAATTATGGGATCATTTATTTGCAATGTAAGCCAATACCGATGGATGTCATTTCAGATATTGATGAATGCACCGTAATGTCTGATAACTGTGATCCAAATGCCACATGTACAAACTCACCAGCCGGGTCTTTTACTTGCACGTGTAATTCTGGATTTGAAGGAGATGGCACCAGCTGCACGGGTAAGTGGAACCAATTAAATCATCCTTTGAAAGGCTCTTCTTTTATTATCAATGAGTACATTTGAAATTACTTTCAGGGAATAAATAATTCACTTGATAAAGTATATTTTATCAACAGCAAAATCGCCAAACATACAGATACTATTCCAAAGTAATAGTTCATGCATAACCAGTTTGCAGCCTTGTAAAATTGTTAACACATTTCTGCATAGTTTGAATGCTCCTTTCAATTTTGGTTGCATAACTATTGTCTTTTCTATAAGGTAAAGGTTTTCATTAAGTGTTAAGAGCTTTTGAATACCTTGCACAATGGAATATTAATTATGGGATCATTTATTTGCAATGTAAGCCAATACCGATGGATGTCATTTCAGATATTGATGAATGCACCGTAATGTCTGATAACTGTGATCCAAATGCCACATGTACGAACACACCAGCCGGGTCTTTTACTTGCACGTGTAATTCTGGATTTGAAGGAGATGGCACCAGCTGCACGGGTAAGTGGAACCAATGAAATCATCCTTTGAAAGGCTCTTCTTTTATTATCAATGACGACATTTGAAATTACTTTCAGGGAATAAATAATTCACTTGATAAAGTATATTTTATCAACAGCAAAATCGCCAAACATACAGATACTATTCCAAAGTAATAGTTCATGCATGACTAGTTTGCAGCATTGTAAAATTGTTAACACATTTCTGCATAGTTTGAATGCTCCTTTCAATTTTGGTTGCATAACTATTGTCTTTTCTATAAGGTAAAGGTTTTCATTAAGTGTTAAGAGCTTTTGAATACCTTGCACAATGGAATATTAATTATGGGATCATTTATTTGCAATGTAAGCCAATACCGCTGGATGTCATTTCAGATATTGATGAATGCACCTTAATGTCTGATAACTGTGATCCAAATGCCACATGTACGAACACACCAGCCGGGTCTTTTACTTGCACGTGTAATTCTGGATTTGAAGGAGATGGCACCAGCTGCACGGGTAAGTGGAACCAATGAAATAATTCTTTGAAAGTCTCTTCTTTTATTACCAATGACGACATTTGAAATTATATTCAGGGAATATATAATTCACTTGATAAAGTATATTTTATCAACAGCAAAATCGCCAAACATACAGATACCATTCCAAAGTAATAGTTCATGCATGACCAGTTTGCAGCATTGTAAAATTGTTAACACATTTCTGCATAGTTTAAATGCTCCTTTCAATTTTGGTTGCATTACTATTGTCTTTTCTATAAGGTAAAGGTTTTCATTAAGTGTTAAGAGCTTTTGAAGACCTTGCACAATGGAATATTAATTATGGGATCATTTATTTGCAATGTAAGCCAATACTGATGGATGTCATTTCAGATATTGATGAATGCACCGTAATGTCTGATAACTGTGATCCAAATGCCACATGTACGAACACACCAGCCGGGTCTTTTACTTGCACGTGTAATTCTGGATTTGAAGGAGATGGCACCAGCTGCACGGGTAAGTGGAACCAATGAAATCATCCTTTGAAAGGCTCTTCTTTTATTATCAATGACGACATTTGAAATTACTTTCAGGGAATAAATAATTCACTTGATAAAGTATATTTTATCAACAGCAAAATCGCCAAACATACAGATACTATTCTAAAGTAATAGTTCATGCATGACCAGCCTACAGCATTGTAAAATTGTTAACACATTTCTGCATAGTTTGAATGCTCCTTTCAATTTTGGTTGCTTAACTATTGTCTTTTCTATAAGGTAAAGGTTTTCTTAAAGTGTTAAGAGCTTTTGAATACCTTGCACAATGGAATATTAATTATGGGATCACTTATTTGCAATGTAAGCCAATACCGATGGATGTCATTTCAGATATTGATGAATGCACCGTAATGTCTGATAACTGTGATCCAAATGCCACATGTACGAACACACCAGCCGGGTCTTTTACTTGCACGTGTAATTCTGGATTTGAAGGAGATGGCACCAGCTGCACGGGTAAGTGGAACCAATGAAATCATCCTTTGAAAGGCTCTTCTTTTATTATCAATGACGACATTTGAAATTACATTCAGGGAATATATAATTCACTTGATAAAGTATATTTCATCAACAGCAAAATCGCCAAACATACAGATACTATTCATAATAGTTCATGCATGACCAGTTTGCAGCATTGTAAAATTGTTAACACATTTCTGCATAGTTTGAATGCTCCTTTCAATTTTGGTTGCATAACTATTGTCTTTTCTATAAGGTAAAGGTTTTCATTAAGTGTTAAGAGCTTTTGAATACCTTGCACAATGGAATATTAATTATGGGATCATTTATTTGCGATGTAAGCCAAAACCGATGGATGTCATTTCAGATATTGATGAATGCACCGTAATGTCTGATAACTGTGATCCAAATGCCACATGTACGAACACACCAGCCGGGTCTTTTACTTGCACGTGTAATTCTGGATTCGAAGGAGATGGCACCAGCTGCACGGGTAAGTGGAACCAATGAAATAATTCTTTGAAAGTCTCTTCTTTTATTATCAATGAGTACATTTGAAATTACTTTCAGGGAATAAATAATTCACTTGATAAAGTATATTTTATCAACAGCAAAATCGCCAAACATACAGATACTATTCTAAAGTAATAGTTCATGCATGACCAGCCTACAGCATTGTAAAATTGTTAACACATTTCTGCATAGTTTGAATGCTCCTTTCAATTTTGGCTGCTTAACTATTGTCTTTTCTATAAGGTGAAGGTTTTCATTAAGTGTTAAGAGCTTTTGAATACCTTGCACAATGGAATATTAATTATGGGATCATTTATTTGCAATGTAAGCCAATACCGATGGATGTCATTTCAGATATTGATGAATGCACCGTAATGTCTGATAACTGTGATCCAAATGCCACATGTACGAACTCACCAGCCGGGTCTTTTACTTGCACGTGTAATTCTGGATTTGAAGGAGATGGCACCAGCTGCACGGGTAAGTGGAACCAATGAAATCATCCTTTGAAAGGCTCTTCTTTTATTATCAATGAGTACATTTGAAATTACTTTCAGGGAATAAATAATTCACTTGATAAAGTATATTTTATCAACAGCAAAATCGCCAAACATACAGACACTATTCCAAAGTAATAGTTCATGCATAACCAGTTTGCAGCCTTGTAAAATTGTTAACACATTTCTGCATAGTTTGAATGCTCCTTTCAATTTTGGTTGCATAACTATTGTCTTTTCTATAAGGTAAAGGTTTTCATTAAGTGTTAAGAGCTTTTGAATACCTTGCACAATGGAATATTAATTATGGGATCATTTATTTGCAATGTAAGCCAATACCGATGGATGTCATTTCAGATATTGATGAATGCACCGCAATGTCTGATAACTGTGATCCAAATGCCACATGTACGAACACACCAGCCGGGTCTTTTACTTGCTCGTGTAATTCTGGATTTGAAGGAGATGGCACCAGCTGCACGGGTAAGTGGAACCAATGAAATCATCCTTTGAAAGGCTCTTCTTTTATTATCAATGACGACATTTGAAATTACTTTCAGGGAATAAATTATTCACTTGATAAAGTATATTTTATCAACAGCAAAATCGCCAAACATACAGATACTATTCCAAAGTAATAGTTCATGCATGACCAGCCTACAGCATTGTAAAATTGTTAACACATTTCTGCATAGTTTGAATGCTCCTTTCAATTTTGGTTGCTTAACTATTGTCTTTTCTATAAGGTGAAGGTTTTCATTAAGTGTTAAGAGCTTTTGAATACCTTGCACAATGGAATATTAATTAAGGGATCATTTATTTGCAATGTAAGCAAATACCGATGGATGTCATTTCAGATATTGATGAATGCACCGTAATGTCTGATAACTGTGATCCAAATGCCACATGTACGAACTCACCAGCCGGGTCTTTTACTTGCACGTGTAATTCTGGATTTGAAGGAGATGGCACCAGCTGCACGGGTAAGTGGAACCAATGAAATCATCCTTTGAAAGGCTCTTCTTTTATTATCAATGACGACATTTGAAATTACTTTCAGGGAATAAATAATTCACTTGATAAAGTATATTTTATCAACAGCAAAATCGCCAAACATACAGATACTATTCCAAAGTAATAGTTCATGCATGACCAGCCTACAGCATTGTAAAATTGTTAACACATTTCTGCATAGTTTGAATGCTCCTTTCAATTTTGGTTGCTTAACTATTGTCTTTTCTATAAGGTGAAGGTTTTCATTAAGTGTTAAGAGCTTTTGAATACCTTGCACAATGGAATATTAATTAAGGGATCATTTATTTGCAATGTAAGCAAATACCGATGGATGTCATTTCAGATATTGATGAATGCACCGTAATGTCTGATAACTGTGATCCAAATGCCACATGTACGAACTCACCAGCCGGGTCTTTTACTTGCACGTGTAATTCTGGATTTGAAGGAGATGGCACCAGCTGCACGGGTAAGTGGAACCAATGAAATCATCCTTTGAAAGGCTCTTCTTTTATTATCAATGAGTACATTTGAAATTACTTTCAGGGAATAAATAATTCACTTGATAAAGTATATTTTATCAACAGCAAAATCGCCAAACATACAGATACTATTCCAAAGTAATAGTTCATGCATAACCAGTTTGCAGCCTTGTAAAATTGTTAACACATTTCTGCATAGTTTGAATGCTCCTTTCAATTTTGGTTGCATAACTATTGTCTTTTCTATAAGGTAAAGGTTTTCATTAAGTGTTAAGAGCTTTTGAATACCTTGCACAATGGAATATTAATTATGGGATCATTTATTTGCAATGTAAGCCAATACCGATGGATGTCATTTCAGATATTGATGAATGCACCGTAATGTCTGATAACTGTGATCCAAATGCCACATGTACGAACACACCAGCCGGGTCTTTTACTTGCTCGTGTAATTCTGGATTCGAAGGAGATGGCACCAGCTGCACGGGTAAGTGGAACCAATGAAATAATTCTTTGAAAGTCTCTTCTTTTATTATCAATGACGACATTTGAAATTACTTTCAGGGAATAAATAATTCACTTGATAAAGTATATTTTATCAACAGCAAAATCGCCAAACATACAGATACTATTCTAAAGTAATAGTTCATGCATGACCAGCCTACAGCATTGTAAAATTGTTAACACATTTCTGCATAGTTTGAATGCTCCTTTCAATTTTGGTTGCTTAACAATTGTCTTTTCTATAAGGTAAAGGTTTTCATTAAGTGTTAAGAGCTTTTGAATACCTTGCACAATGGAATATTAATTATGGGATCACTTATTTGCAATGTAAGCCAATACCGATGGATGTCATTTCAGATATTGATGAATGCACCGTAATGTCTGATAACTGTGATCCAAATGCCACATGTACGAACACACCAGCCGGGTCTTTTACTTGCACGTGTAATTCTGGATTTGAAGGAGATGGCACCAGCTGCACGGGTAAGTGGAACCAATGAAATCATCCTTTGAAAGGCTCTTCTTTTATTATCAATGACGACATTTGAAATTACATTCAGGGAATATATAATTCACTTGATAAAGTATATTTCATCAACAGCAAAATCGCCAAACATACAGATACTATTCATAATAGTTCATGCATGACCAGTTTGCAGCAGTGTAAAATTGTTAACACATTTCTGCATAGTTTGAATGCTCCTTTCAATTTTGGTTGCATAACTATTGTCTTTTCTATAAGGTAAAGGTTTTCATTAAGTGTTAAGAGCTTTTGAATACCTTGCACAATGGAATATTAATTATGGGATCATTTATTTGCGATGTAAGCCAATACCGATGGATGTCATTTCAGATATTGATGAATGCACCGTAATGTCTGATAACTGTGATCCAAATGCCACATGTACGAACACACCAGCCGGGTCTTTTACTTGCACGTGTAATTCTGGATTCGAAGGAGATGGCACCAGCTGCACGGGTAAGTGGAACCAATGAAATAATTCTTTGAAAGTCTCTTCTTTTATTATCAATGACGACATTTGAAATTACTTTCAGGGAATAAATAATTCACTTGATAAAGTATATTTTATCAACAGCAAAATCGCCAAACATACAGATACTATTCTAAAGTAATAGTTCATGCATGACCAGCCTACAGCATTGTAAAATTGTTAACACATTTCTGCATAGTTTGAATGCTCCTTTCAATTTTGGCTGCTTAACTGTTGTCTTTTCTATAAGGTGAAGGTTTTCATTAAGTGTTAAGAGCTTTTGAATACCTTGCACAATGGAATATTAATTATGGGATCATTTATTTGCAATGTAAGCCAATACCGATGGATGTCATTTCAGATATTGATGAATGCACCGTAATGTCTGATAACTGTGATCCAAGTGCCACATGTACGAACACACCAGCCGGGTCTTTTACTTGCACATGTAATTCTGGATTTGAAGGAGATGGCACCAGCTGCACGGGTAAGTGGAACCAATGAAATCATCCTTTGAAAGGCTCTTCTTTTATTATCAATGTCGACATTTGAAATTACTTTCAGGGAATAAATAATTCACTTGATAAAGTATATTTTATCAACAGCAAAATCGCCAAACATACAGATACTATTCCAAAGTAATAGATCATGCATGACCAGTTTGCAGCATTGTAAAATTGTTTCACACATTTCTGCATAGTTTGAATGCTCCTTTCAATTTTGGTTGCATAACTATTGTCTTTTCTATAAGGTAAAGGTTTTCATTAAGTGTTAAGAGCTTTTGAATACCTTGCACAATGGAATATTAATTATGGGATCATTTATTTGCAATGTAAGCCAATACCGATGGATGTCATTTCAGATATTGATGAATGCACCGTAATGTCTGATAACTGTGATCCAAATGCCACATGTACGAACACACCAGCCGGGTCTTTTACTTGCACGTGTAATTCTGGATTCGAAGGAGATGGCACCAGCTGCACGGGTAAGTGGAACCAATGAAATCATCCTTTGAAAGGGTCTTCTTTTATTATCAATGACGACATTTGAAATTACTTTCAGGGAATAAATAATTCACTTGATAAAGTATATTTTATCAACAGCAAAATCGCCAAACATACAGATACTATTCTAAAGTAATAGTTCATGCATGACCAGCCTACAGCATTGTAAAATTGTTAACACATTTCTGCATAGTTTGAATGCTCCTTTCAATTTTGGTTGCTTAACTATTGTCTTTTCTATAAGGTAAAGGTTTTCATTAAGTGTTAAGAGCTTTTGAATACCTTGCACAATGGAATATTAATTATGGGATCATTTATTTGCAATGTAAGCCAATACTGATGGATGTCATTTCAGATATTGATGAATGCACCGTAATGTCTGATAACTGTGATCCAAATGCCACATGTACGAACACACCAGCCGGGTCTTTTACTTGCACGTGTAATTCTGGATTCGAAGGAGATGGCACCAGCTGCACGGGTAAGTGGAACCAATGAAATCATCCTTTGAAAGGCTCTTCTTTTATTATCAATGACGACATTTGAAATTACATTCAGGGAATATATAATTCACTTGATAAAGTATATTTCATCAACAGCAAAATCGCCAAACATACAGATACTATTCATAATAGTTCATGCATGACCAGTTTGCAGCATTGTAAAATTGTTAACACATTTCCTCATATTTTGAATGCTCCTTTCAATTTTGGTTGCATAACTATTGTCTTTTCTATAAGGTAAAGGTTTTCATTAAGTGTTAAGAGCTTTTGAATACCTTGCACAATGGAATATTAATTATGGGATCATTTATTTGCGATGTAAGCCAATACCGATGGATGTCATTTCAGATATTGATGAATGCACCGTAATGTCTGATAACTGTGATCCAAATGCCACATGTACGAACACACCAGCCGGGTCTTTTACTTGCACGTGTAATTCTGGATTTGAAGGAGATGGCACCAGCTGCACGGGTAAGTGGAACCAATGAAATCATCCTTTGAAAGGCTCTTCTTTTATTATCAATGACGACATTTGAAATTACTTTCAGGGAATAAATAATTCACTTGATAAAGTATATTTTATCAACAGCAAAATCGCCAAACATACAGATACTATTGTAAAGTAATAGTTCATGCATGACCAGCCTACAGCATTGTAAAATTGTTAACACATTTCTGCATAGTTTGAATGCTCCTTTCAATTTTGGCTGCTTAACTGTTGTCTTTTCTATAAGGTGAAGGTTTTCATTAAGTGTTAAGAGCTTTTGAATACCTTGCACAATGGAATATTAATTATGGGATCATTTATTTGCAATGTAAGCCAATACCGATGGATGTCATTTCAGATATTGATGAATGCACCGTAATGTCTGATAACTGTGATCCAAGTGCCACATGTACGAACACACCAGCCGGGTCTTTTACTTGCACATGTAATTCTGGATTTGAAGGAGATGGCACCAGCTGCACGGGTAAGTGGAACCAATGAAATCATCCTTTGAAAGGCTCTTCTTTTATTATCAATGACGACATTTGAAATTACTTTCAGGGAATAAATAATTCACTTGATAAAGTATATTTTATCAACAGCAAAATCGCCAAACATACAGATACTATTCCAAAGTAATAGATCATGCATGACCAGTTTGCAGCATTGTAAAATTGTTTCACACATTTCTGCATAGTTTGAATGCTCCTTTCAATTTTGGTTGCATAACTATTGTCTTTTCTATAAGGTAAAGGTTTTCATTAAGTGTTAAGAGCTTTTGAATACCTTGCACAATGGAATATTAATTATGGGATCATTTATTTGCAATGTAAGCCAATACCGATGGATGTCATTTCAGATATTGATGAATGCACCGTAATGTCTGATAACTGTGATCCAAATGCCACATGTACGAACACACCAGCCGGGTCTTTTACTTGCACGTGTAATTCTGGATTCGAAGGAGATGGCACCAGCTGCACGGGTAAGTGGAACCAATGAAATCATCCTTTGAAAGGCTCTTCTTTTATTATCAATGACGACATTTGAAATTACTTTCAGGGAATAAATAATTCACTTGATAAAGTATATTTTATCAACAGCAAAATCGCCAAACATACAGATACTATTCTAAAGTAATAGTTCATGCATGACCAGCCTACAGCATTGTAAAATTGTTAACACATTTCTGCATAGTTTGAATGCTCCTTTCAATTTTGGTTGCTTAACTATTGTCTTTTCTATAAGGTAAAGGTTTTCATTAAGTGTTAAGAGCTTTTGAATACCTTGCACAATGGAATATTAATTATGGGATCATTTATTTGCAATGTAAGCCAATACCGATGGATGTCATTTCAGATATTGATGAATGCACCGTAATGTCTGATAACTGTGATCCAAATGCCACATGTACGAACACACCAGCCGGGTCTTTTACTTGCACGTGTAATTCTGGATTCGAAGGAGATGGCACCAGCTGCACGGGTAAGTGGAACCAATGAAATCATCCTTTGAAAGTCTCTTCTTTTATTATCAATGACGACATTTGAAATTACATTCAGGGAATATATAATTCACTTGATAAAGTATATTTCATCAACAGCAAAATCGCCAAACATACAGATACTATTCATAATAGTTCATGCATGACCAGTTTGCAGCATTGTAAAATTGTTAACACATTTCCTCATATTTTGAATGCTCCTTTCAATTTTGGTTGCATAACTATTGTCTTTTCTATAAGGTAAAGGTTTTCATTAAGTGTTAAGAGCTTTTGAATACCTTGCACAATGGAATATTAATTATGGGATCATTTATTTGCAATGTAAGCCAATACCGATGGATGTCATTTCAGATATTGATGAATGCACCGTAATGTCTGATAACTGTGATCCAAATGCCACATGTACGAACACACCAGCCGGGTCTTTTACTTGCACGTGTAATTCTGGATTCGAAGGAGATGGCACCAGCTGCACGGGTAAGTGGAACCAATGAAATCATCCTTTGAAAGGCTCTTCTTTTATTATCAATGACGACATTTGAAATTACATTCAGGGAATATATAATTCACTTGATAAAGTATATTTCATCAACAGCAAAATCGCCAAACATACAGATACTATTCATAATAGTTCATGCATGACCAGTTTGCAGCATTGTAAAATTGTTAACACATTTCCTCATATTTTGAATGCTCCTTTCAATTTTGGTTGCATAACTATTGTCTTTTCTATAAGGTAAAGGTTTTCATTAAGTGTTAAGAGCTTTTGAATACCTTGCACAATGGAATATTAATTATGGGATCATTTATTTGCAATGTAAGCCAATACCGATGGATGTCATTTCAGATATTGATGAATGCACCGTAATGTCTGATAACTGTGATCCAAATGCCACATGTACGAACACACCAGCCGGGTCTTTTACTTGCACGTGTAATTCTGGATTCGAAGGAGATGGCACCAGCTGCACGGGTAAGTGGAACCAATGAAATCATCCTTTGAAAGGCTCTTCTTTTATTATCAATGACGACATTTGAAATTACATTCAGGGAATATATAATTCACTTGATAAAGTATATTTCATCAACAGCAAAATCGCCAAACATACAGATACTATTCATAATAGTTCATGCATGACCAGTTTGCAGCATTGTAAAATTGTTAACACATTTCCTCATATTTTGAATGCTCCTTTCAATTTTGGTTGCTTAACTATTGTCTTTTCTATAAGGTAAAGGTTTTCATTAAGTGTTAAGAGCTTTTGAATACCTTGCACAATGGAATATTAATTATGGGATCATTTATTTGCAATGTAAGCCAATACTGATGGATGTCATTTCAGATATTGATGAATGCACCGTAATGTCTGATAACTGTGATCCAAATGCCACATGTACGAACACACCAGCCGGGTCTTTTACTTGCACGTGTAATTCTGGATTCGAAGGAGATGGCACCAGCTGCACGGGTAAGTGGAACCAATGAAATCATCCTTTGAAAGGCTCTTCTTTTATTATCAATGACGACATTTGAAATTACTTTCAGGGAATAAATAATTCACTTGATAAAGTATATTTTATCAACAGCAAAATCGCCAAACATACAGATACTATTCTAAAGTAATAGTTCATGCATGACCAGCCTACAGCATTGTAAAATTGTTAACACATTTCTGCATAGTTTGAATGCTCCTTTCAATTTTGGTTGCATAACTATTGTCTTTTCTATAAGGTAAAGGTTTTCATTAAGTGTTAAGAGCTTTTGAATACCTTGCACAATGAAATATTAATTATGGGATCATTTATTTGCAATGTAAGCCAATACCGATAGATGTCATTTCAGATATTGATGAATGCACCGTAATGACTGATAACTGTGATCCAAATGCCACATGTACGAACACACCAGCCGGGTCTTTTACTTGCACGTGTAATTCTGGATTTGAAGGAGATGGCACCAGCTGTACGGGTAAGTGGAACCAATGAAATCATCCTTTGAAAGGCTCCTCTTTTATTATGAATGACGGCATTTGATTACGATGAAATTACTTTTAGGGAATATATAATTCACTTGATAATGTATATGTTATCGACAGCAAAATCGCCAAACAAACAGATACTATTCCAAAGTGATATTTCATACAAGACCTAATATCATCATTGTAAAATTGTTAACACATTTCTTCATATTTTGAATGCTCCTTTCAATTTTGGTTGCATGACTATTGTCTTGTCTATAAGGTAAAGGTTTTCATTAAGAGCTTTTGAATACCTTGCACAATGGAATATTAATTATGGGATCAATATTTTGCAATGTAAGGCAGTACCGATGGATGTCATTTCAGATATTGATGAATGCACCTTAATGACTGATAACTGTTATCCAAATGCTGCATGTGCATTTCTGCATATTTTGCCACAAGTCAAACTAGTGAAGGGCATCGGACAGATTTCGAAATGTCATCGTCATGTCAACTATAAAACTTTTTGAAAACTTTACTGAGGCCTTGCATGTTGTAAGCATCATCATATTCTGTAACTATTGATGAATTTTCATCTTTGGAGTCCACTGGCTCAGATATCGTATTTACACAATGCCCGTATGTCCAATTGTTAGCATTAATTTATACTGATAATTAAACACATGTGTTGTGTTATCGGAAACGTACCATCGACTACCCTTTTGGTAGAGATTTAGCAGAAGTTATAGAAAGGGTTTTGTCTATATTGTTTACAAATGACAATTCGATTTGAAACCACCCTACATTTCTGCATGTGTGTGTATTGTGCAGTGAACGGCGTAAGCAGTAGAATACTAGAAAACAGTTTAAAATCACCAACTGTTTATCATGAAGGTGTACATGTTAAATAATTTATTCTATGTTGCACATCATTTTGATCACTCGATTGACTTGATTATTTACACGCCCCCGTCATATTGCTGAGTGTCGTTTTAATCAATAATAAAATATACTCTCCAAAAACGTAGGTGACATTCAAAATAACAGACGATCACATAAATAAACTGACCATCATAAGATCTTATGATCGTCAGTTTACAAAGATATACTGAAAGATGCTATGGTTAGATAAAGAAATGGAAGGGCGAAGTGCCAAATGGCGTTCAACAGTTTTATTGTGAGGGTGCAAACAATCAAGAAAGACGACAGCGTGTAGTAAAAAGATTAACGGTTGAAATGTCCTGATCATTAACGGATCATGAACCCAGATACGCTTATATTGCGTGTCCGAATCAATGTCCCAATGATAATTTGAGGGAGTTGTGTCCACTCCTCTCCTACCACCAGGCCCAGTCAGGCTGACGTAGCGGGTGGCCCTTGACTTCGGCGTACACGTCTCCCGATTATGTCCTAGACGTGTTCTATGGGGGAAAGGTCAGGATTCGCGGCTTGCCATTGCCTTCTGGTGATGTTTTGCTGCTGGGTGTAGCCAGTTACAATATATTCACGGTGGGTACTATCGTTATCATCTTGAAAGACAAAACGTGGGCCAGCAAAGTGCGCAAACGACACAACTATTGTCGTCTTCGTCGTACTGTCCAGTGTCCAATATGCAGTGACGTTTTGCCAGTTATAGTGATCCCGACACGTATCATTACAGACCCACCCCGACATCTGTCATGTTGCCTTACGTTGTCGTTTGCATGACGTTCGTCAGGACGCCTCAAGACACGTCCACTCCTATACAGAAAGTCCAGAGTGAATCTGAAGTCATCTGAATGTATTAAACGCACCTTCAGTGACTCCCCCAGTGTCTACGCTCTGAACGCAATTGTCCGGCTAAAATGTGTCGCTTCGATAACGGTTGTTAAGAAAGCCACAAAACCTTTTCCATATTCATAAGAAATCTCTGCTAAACAATTCCGACTATATCATGAGCATGTGCTTTTTCGCGAACACCTGGTGTCATCGCTGTTGATGGGTGGCCACACCTGATACAGTCGGAATCGTGCAGTTCCTTTTGGCGGAGATTCCTTGTAGCTGTGGGAAGGGGTTTGTCGCTTTAATTATTATAAAGAACTATCAAATAGTGGTAAAACCTGGAAGCGTTTCCTTGTCGCCCATCATGTAGATCAGCGGCATTCAGGCAACTTCTAATAGTCTCCTCAGCACCTTGAACACCAGGGGCCTGGCACAGCGATTTGATTGGCTGTTTGAGGTCGACTTTCTGGTTTCTGATTAATTGATTCTGGGCCAACTTGCATTTAAACGATCTTAGCGCTGAGATGATCGTAACTACCATACCTTAACATATGCTTACGATAGACGCAGCTCTAAGTTGATCGTAACTGCCATACCTTTACATATGCTTACGATAGTCGTAGCTCTAAGTTGATCGTAACTACCATACCTTAACCTATGCTTACGATAGTCGTAGCTGTAAGATGGTCGTAACTACCATACCTTAACATATGCTTACGATAGTCGTAGCTCTAAGTTGATCGTAACTACCATACCTTAACATATGCTTACGATAGTCGTAGCTGTAAGATGGTCGTAACTACCATACCTTAACATATGCTAACGATAGTCGTAGCTCTAAGTTGATCGCAACTACCATACCTTAACCTATGCTTACGATTGTCGTAGCTCTAAGTTGATCGTAACTACCATACCTTAACATAAGCTTACGATAGTCGTAGCTCTAAGTTGATCGTAACTACCATACCTTAACATATGCTTACGATAGTCGTAGCTCTAAGTTGATCGTAACTACCATACCTTAACATATGCTTACGATAGTCGCAGCTCTAAGTTGATCGTAACTACCATACCTTAACATATGCTTACGATAGACGCAGCTCTAAGTTGATCGTAACTACCATACGTTAACAAAGGCCTATGATAGTCGTAGCACTGAGATCGCTTTGTGAAGAGGGCCCTGGACTGAGTTGTTGACCAAAGGCGCCCTGAGCTGTTCCGATCATTTGATGTCTGCATGAACCTGTTCCAAAGTCAAATATTCGCTACCACCAGTTTGAAGCATGCCCTCAGGCGTTCATCACGTTCTGGGGGACGCATTACCAATATGACCACAAATACTGCTTTTATCAAGAATAGAAAGGTTACGTATTACTGTGGATAATGAAACTCAACAATACAAATGGCTCACTGAAGTCTCAAAATCACTGATTACCCCCTATCCACGTATGTTGGGGCGTTGGTATTTGGTACCGAAACCATTCTCCTTCAGTCATTTTTCTAAACTGATCTTCCTTCTGACGACCGATCATAGTATTTCTAGTTCCAGATCCCCTACATTATGGAGAGTATAACCTTTATTCTGGCCTTTAATAATAAGTCTACAACTTTGCCTTCCTGAAACTAATCCTAACGGACGTACCATTTGACATTCTGGGGGGAAAGGGGGTTGGGTTTTTGTATGAAGACGAGGACTAGATCATTTTTCAGTTACAGACATCATTAATATAATTTATGAACCTAAATATTATTTTATAAACAAAACATATTGCATCAATGTATTATCTGTTGCTGTCCAGTTTCGGCGGGACCCAAACCTGGAGTAGATGAAGCGGTAAACAGACCTTTGGAATAAATCGCACTAATTGTGACATTTTCTTCCTTTTCAGTAAAGTGTCAGTAAACGTAGAGCCTGGACAGCACACTTTGCAACTTTTCTCATTACTGTCATATTCCTTATCCTTATCCTGGCACGAAATAAAACCGCTAATTCGTTCAAATAAACAAATTTTCTTTCATTTTGTTAGTGTTTATGTTATGCAGTGAGTGTTTAGTGAGCGAATGAGTTAGGGGTAAGCCTGACTACAAGAAGTAATTAGTACACAGTGCCAGATTCTATATACTCAGCCTAGCTGCAAGACGTATTTAGTACTCAGTGTCAGATTCTATATACCCAGCCTGACTACAAGACGTATTCAGTACACAATGCCGTATTCTGTATACCCAGCCTAACTACAAGAAGTTTTTAGTACACAGTGTCAGATTCTATATACCCAGCCTGACTATATATAAGAAGGTTTTTAGTACATAGTGGCAGATTCTATATACCCGGCCTAACTACAAGAAGTATTTAGTACACAATGCAGTATTCTATATACCCAGTCTACCTACAAGAAGTATTTAGTACAAAATGCAGTATTCTATATACCCAGGCTAACTACAAGTAGTATTTAGTACACAGCGCAGTATGCTATATACCCAGCCTAACTACAAGAAGTATTTAGTACACAATGCAGTATTTTATATACCAAGCCTACCTACAAGAAGTATTTAGTACAAAATGCAGTATTCTATATACCCAGGCTAACTACAAGAAGTATTTAGTACATAGTGGCAGATTCTATATACCCAGCCTAACCACAAAAAGTATTTAGTACACAATGCAGTTTTCTATATACCCAGCTTAAGCACAAGAAGTATTTAGTACACAGTGCAGTATTTTTTATACCCAGCCTAACTACAAGAAGTATTTAGTACGAAGTGCAGTATTCTATATACCCAGCCTAACTACAAGAAGTATGTAGTACACAATGCAGTATTCTGTATACCCAGCCTGACCACAAGAAGTATTTAGTACACAATGCAGTATTCTATTTGCCCAGCCTAACTACAAGAAGTATTTAGTACACAATCCTTTGTTCTATATACCCAGCCTAACCACAAGAAGTATTTGGAAGACAATGCAGTATTCTATATACCCAGCTTAACCAGAAGAAGTATTTAGTACACAATGCAGTATTCTATATACCCAGCTTAAGCACAAGAAGTATTTAGTACACAATGCAGTATTCTATATACCCAGCCTAATCACAAGAAGTATTTAGTACACATAGTAGTATTCTATATACCCAGCTTAAGCACAAGAAGTATTTAGTACACAATGCAGTATTCTATATACCCAGCCTAATCACAAGAAGTATTTAGTACACAGAGCAGTATTCTATATACCGAGCTTAACCACAAGAAGTATTTAGTACACAATGCAGTATTCTATATACCCAGCTTAACTACAAGACGTATTTAGTACACAATGCAGTATTCTATATACCCAGCCTAACCAAAAGAAGTATTTAGTACATAGTGGCATATTGTATATACCCAGGCTAACCACAAAAAGTATTTAGTACACAGTGCAGTATTCTTTATACCCAGCATAACTACAAGAAGTATTTAGTACACAATGCAGTATTCTATATACCCAGCCTAACTACGAGAAGTATTTAGTACACAATGCAGTATTCTATATACCCAGCCTAACCACAAGAAGTATTTAGTACATAGTGGCAGATTGTACATACCCAGGCTAACCAAATGAAGTATTTAGTACACAGTGTAGTATTCTATATACCCAGCCTAACTACAAGAAGTATTTGGAACACAATGCAGTATTCTATATACCCAGCCTAACTACAAGAAGTATTTGGAACACAATGCCGTATTCTATATACCAAGGCTAACTACAAGAAGTATTTAGTACACAGTGCCAGATTCTATATAACCAGTCTGACTACAAAAAGTATTTAGTACACAGTGTCAGATTCTATATACCCAGCCTAACTACAGGGGTATTTAGTACACAATGCGGTATTCTATATAACCAGCTTAACCACAAGAAGTATTTAGTACACAATGCAGTATTCTATATAACCAGTCTGACTATAAAAAGTATGTAGTACACAGTGTCAGATTCTATATACCCAGCCTAACTATAAGGCTAGAACAATCTTTCTCTTGCATTCAACAAACTATGTAATTACTTAGCATCATCAAACAATCTATTTAATTTAACTATTTGACGTTTGGGTCGTTTGGACAAAAACAAACTGATTTAGAGGGTGAACAAATGAAATATTGCAATATACGATTGAGCAAAAGATATAACTTGAGGAATGAATTTGAAAATTGAAGGAACTGTTGTTGAAGGAACATATGTCTCCTTGGTTACATATTGACGGCCCATAGCATCTATCTACGCAGCTGGGATACGATGACATGCATCAAACAAGTCAGCGAGCCTGATCACCCGATCCTGTTAATCGCCTCTTACAAGCATGGGTATCTGAAGACCAATTCTCTGCCGGACCTTCACGGGTCTCTCGACTTCTGTTTAAAGTTACCTAATCATCTTCATATACTGAACGTTGCTGAATGTTATCATCGCTTATATTGTTGATCAATTACTGCTATAAATATTGTGTGAATTACTGAAGTTATTGATCCATAGAGGGATTCAGACATATGACGGCGGGTTTATCAGTGATAGTGTTTGCGCATTGTGCCCATGTAAATTGAACTCAGAGGGACCCCTCGAGCAGCATGAATATCCAGTCAGTTCATTTACATGGTTCGGCAGCGCTTATTGATAACGTTAGTCATGGGGATGATGCGCATTTCTTTTCAATCCCAGCATCCGTTTTAATTCCCTCGACCCTTGAATTATTTTCAGATCGCCGTCAAATAGCTGTAATATTGTGTGCGGCGTTAAACACCAAACAAACATTAAAACAACATATGCCTAACATTTACTGCAAGCCTCAGTCAGTACTTCCCCAATTACATGTACTGGATAAACTTCCGGATTGCTCGTGAAATAATCTGAAATTCCAAACAAAATTGTAAGGTTTACAATTGTGGTTCTTGGTCATGCTGACATTCTACATTTAGCTCAGACAGTCCACAACAAAGAAAGAGCTGTCCAAGTTTGGAAAAGATCATGAAAGAAATGACTGATTTGGATTTCGGTTATATCCCGGTGTGTATGGTGCTGACAAACCAAGAGTCATAATAAGAACTTATGGGATTCGAACCCACTATCATAGCTTTATGGCACGCCTAACGGGGTGCAACTCTACACAGCCTTAGACGACTGGGTCACCAGTGGCCACATCTCTTGAAATGAAGCCACTCAAATCTCGAACAATTTTAGTCGGACAGTATTCCTGAGATATTAACGCCAAGAATGAGAGTTTTTGTTTTGTTTTGTTTGTTGTTCAACGCCCTACTCAGCAATATACAAGCTATATGATGGCGGCCTGTAAATAATCGAGTCTGGAAGAGACAATCCAGTGATTGACATCATTAGAATCGATCCACATAATTGCGATACGATGACATGCATCAACCAAGTCAGCGAGCCTGACCACCCGACCCCATTAGTTGCTTCTTACGACAAACAAAGTCGCCATTTAAAGCAAGCATGAAGACCTATGCTACCCCGGATCTTTACGGGTTGAGGTTATATCCCAGGCCACTCCATGCTCTTCCCATTCTTGAAAGTAAGCTTCCTACTATCTATGTATCCACGTCTGTGCAGCTTACCAACACTGTACGTCATTCAGTCGGCTGTGTTGATTGCAGTGATTGTGTAGCCTACTACCGGTAGTAAGGATCTGCCGTGGTTGTGTAGCCTACTACCGGTAGTAAGGATCTGCCGTGATTGTGAAGCCTACTACCGGTAGTAAGGATCTGCCGTGATTGTGTAGCCTACTTCCGGAAGTAAGGATCTGCCGTGGTTGTGTAGCCTACTACCGGTAGTAAGGATCTGCCGTGATTGTGTAGCCTACTACCGGTAGTAAGGATCTGCCGTGATTGTGTAGCCTACTACCGGAAGTAAGGATCTGCCGTGGTTGTGTAGCCTACTACCGGTAGTAAGGATCTGCCGTGATTGTGTAGCCTACTACCGGTAGTAAGGATCTGCCGTGATTGTGTAGCCTACTACCGGTAGTTAGGATCTGCCGTGATTGTGTAGCCTACTACCGGTAGTAAGGATCTGCCGTGATTGTGTAGCCTACTACCGGTAGTAAGGATCTGCCGTGATTGTGTAGCCTACTACCGGTAGTAAGGATCTGCCGCGATTGTGTAGCCTACTACCGGTAGTAAGGATCAGATCCGGGGGATGCATGCCGTAAAAGGCGACAATGATTGTCGTAAGAGACGGGATCAGGTGGTCAGACCCGCTGACTTGGTTGATGCATGTCATCGTATCCCAATTGATGTTTGTTTGTTGTTTAACGCCGCACTCCCTAATATTCCAGCCATATAACGGCGGTTTGTAAATAATCGAGCCTGGACTAGACAATGTAGAGTGCAGCGTCAAACAAAAAACAAACGAACGAAGCAAACACTCCTTACACAGATCATATGATTATTTGTTACGAGTGCCTAGACCTGCGTGTATCTGTTCCTTCGTGCGTTCTCATTGAGACACTGCCGTGCATTATTATTATATTAAACTTATTGTTAAAAATTATCGATTCAAAGTCGGATTTAGTTCAAGGTCGGCTTACAGGTTGAAACATAATTGAATTAAAACATGTCCCTATACAATGTGGTGTGTTATTTTGTTCTGTAAGGCTTCAAGAAGGTGAACTGACGCCCCTGTGTCTGAGGTTCAGTGCATGGAATGTGCAATTCAATGAAGATGATTGGAAAAGGGTTAGTACCTTCCCGCGGGTATCTCTGGCGGTACTCCCGCTATCCCGAGTACCCCATTCATCACATGCATCAAAGTCGAACACGGACACTGCAATAGCAAAAAAATCACAAAATGAGTCATTCACCTTGACAACATGACAGAGTGATACAACATTGCCTCATAACATGGCAACAAATCACCATGACCCATTTGGGTAACATGGAACAGTTACAGTGCATTATAGAAGCATATCATGGCAACATTAAGTGACAGTGCAATATGGTAACACAACAGTGTCATATGGTAA